CTCTAAAAAGTATAGATTAAAACTTAAAAAGAAACCTTATAATAAACTTCAATTTTTTGGACAATTCGTTTGTTAAGTTAGTGCAATGCTACTTGTGCGCAGATATATGTCAAGTTGTCAACTAGTTTCTACCACTTACATCATGGATTTCACATTTTTGAAGAACTTTCAGATACAGAGAATGGATAATCTCTACAATTATTTAATAAGAATGGACAAAGTTAGAATTTTTTTATCTACTTAGTGCTTAAAGCACTATCACATGATTAGAGCGATGCCACATGTAAAAAATATAAATAAAAATTTATTTATATATAAGTTTTATTTATTATATTTATATAAAATTTTAATTATTTATTTTTATTTTAATGATTAAAATTTATTTATATTTGTTAAAAATTAAAATACATTTTAAATATTAAAAATAAAAAATAAAAAATTTATATAAATATAATATAAAAAATTTATATATAAATAAATCATACTAACAAAAAAAAAATATTCATATTTAAAATTTTCTCGATCACAGAATACTGTTTATGAAAAGGTCGAAAAAAAGACTGTTGTTTTCGAAGTGAGGTAAATATCGAAATCATGCGGAAACGAAACGCAACCACTGAATTGTCCAAATTCCTTCGCTGGTGGTCCTGCTCCTCTACCTGCCACCAGAGGAAGGGTAGCTGGTGGGCGTAGAATGACGCATGGGATATGAAGCAAAATTCTCATTTAATCAAATAAACAGCGACGTGGGAATAAATGTCTGCATCCAACATGTGACAGCCACCGGGGAGGCCGAACCCGCCGCCACGACTGTGGAAAACTCCGCAGGTGATTTTGTTGGGATTTGACGACGGGGGTGGGTCCTTTAACGGACTTAATTGATGACTTGTAGCATCCATGACACGTCGGAGGCTAAAGCGATACCCGCAACTTCACGCTACAACCACTGGCAAGCGGCAGCGAATATAATGTTGTAAGCAGGAAAAGACGAATGTAACTGAACCAGATCTGCACGACTCACGATGCAGTAATTATTGCACATCAATTTTT